TGCTTTAGCTTTTGGAATATTCTCCTTTTAATCTCAAAAAAATAAAATAATAATGGCACGCCAATTTATCGTTTTTGCCTTATTGGCTTTAACCATCGCCGCCGTTTTCGCCGCCGATGCTCCTGCAGCCTCTCCCAAAAAATCTCCGTCACCAACCGCCGCACCAACCAAATCTACCACCGCCCCAACCAAAGCTCCGGCCACCGCACCAAAATCCTCCGCCGCCGCACCTAAATCATCCTCCGCCTCTTCTCCCAAAGCATCTTCTCCTGCTGCTGAGGGACCCGCCGCCGAAGACGATTACTCCGCCGCTAGTCCAAGTGACTCCGGCGAGGCACCCACCGTCTCCTCCCCGCCGGCTCCCACACCAGACAGCACCTCCGTCGCCGATGGACCAAGCGATGGACCTGCTACGGCTGAGGCACCAACGAGCGGTGCTGTGACCACCGTCAAACTCTCCGTCGCCGCCACATTCGCCGCCGTTGGCTTCTTCTTCGTTTCTTTCTAAGTTAAATCCGACGACGTTTCGCTTCGGATGGATCAGAAAGAATTTATATAATCTGGGGCCGTAAATTTATTTATACATATATACGTATAAACGAGATTAAATGGAGTGTTTAATATAAACTTATGAAATTTTGTTAGAACAATTTTTTCATCTAAAGTAAATGGGCAATGTTTTCCTGTTTCCTGAGATCATATCAATGTGAAAATATAGTTCAAGTCTTTCGTCAAATTTCATCAACTTTTCTTTTGCATGTAAAAAATATATCTCAACGTTACAAAATGAATCTCTAATCAAAACTTTGAAACCATTAAAACCATTTTCTCTAATCATTTAGCTTTCTGTAAAACCCATCCTGAAGAGTTGGTTTTACAGATGTCCTGCATCACCTGCGCAATAACGACCGAGAGAGGTCAGATTAAAAACCACAACTTTGGTCTCAAAACATAGAAAGAGAGCTCAAAGAGAAACCTTTTGGTATTCATTGTTGGTGATTACACGACCAAGTCGGGTCTTGCCTGCTTCAAATACATGAGCCTTCATAAGCTTCTTTCCATGTCCAACCCCATGTAAGAGCTCGATCACCACCTCCCTGATGGTAACAAACAGACATTACAGCTTCAACAACAAAAAAACATAATGTGATTATTATTTTCCAACAACAAAAAAAAACCTGAGAGTATCAAATTGTGGATGGCATGGAGACGACTTGGAGACAAAAGAGCCGTTAATGTCTACAGCCACTTCATTTATAACTTGTTTCAGCTCTTCCTTGTGAGCATCAACAGCTAACGCCACGTCTTTGGCAGATTGTCTGGTAGCTGAATCAGCTTTTGGATTATTCGATGTGGAAACTGCAAGATCCCTAAGTCTTTGGCAGATCGTCTCGTAGCTGCACACAGAGAGGAACCATGTGAAATCCAATTTTCACAAGTTCAGATCATTGCAAAAGTATAGTTCCCAAGAATCTTTATCTCACCTGCAAACTTGGTGATGTTCATCAAAAACCTTTTTCAATGCCTTTGTTATCGCGCTCTTAATAATATCTTCTTGTCCAACAACACAAGGTATTGTATTTCTTGAACTTCCTCCTTTGTCAGAGAGTCTTGTTGGGGGCTCTGGTTTAGCTGTAGCTGAAGGATTTTTCACTACAACATTCTTCTTGTTTTCAGCTATACTTTTTCCTTTTTTGGTTATAACTGATGTAAGCTTGACCTCCATAGCTTGCCAAAAACTTGCTTGCTCCTTGGCAATTTCCGGGTACGATTTAAGGAAGGAAACATCAGTCGGCTCTCTGAACTTCCAATCACGTAACAGAGGTCTTTCCTTGGCAAATACAGTCAACATAGTTTTCATTTTGTCTCTAAGGGAACCAGTTGCTTCAACGTTAGAGAACTTTATGGTTGAATCCTTGTTAAACAGCATCAAGACATAATCCCTGGAAAGCTCTAGGGGGCCGTCTAGTTTTAGTAGCCTAGTTTTGGGAGTCCATAAACCTTGAACCAACCAGGCATATTGTTGGAGAACCCTTAAGAAATCCTCGTCTGAGAACTCTGGCGCATAATGCTTAAGAACATTGTATCGAAATAACGGTGGTCCCTGATGTGGATGAACAAGTTAGCTAGACGACTTATACTTGTACTTAATTCATAGGTTAGGAGCAGGATCAATATAAACTTCATCTAGAAAAACACAAAAGAACAGAAATTAACGTTGAAACAAAAGCTACCAACCTGGCAGAGAAGCTTTTGCACACGTTCTTCAAGCGGTAGGGAGGTCATGATCCTGAAAGCAGAAGACTATATCTTTAAGGAACACGTTAAGAAAGGGTGCACATGCACGAGGCCAGACATTTGGTTAAATAAGAAAAGGGAAACCGATATATTGAAAAGATGAAAGAGTTTTGGCACCTTTTCAATGAATCTTTCGATTCATAGTTTCTGCTTCTTTCCCCACGGCACAGCGAGTTGATATAAACCTCACTTCAACAAAATGAAAGGAGATATTAAGGGAAACAAGACAAATTGTTTTAAGCAAACTCAGTGAAAAGAAAAACATCATACGGGCTCATGTTGAAGTCTATTGAAGAGTTCTCATTCGCCATCATTCCTTTAAGATATCTGGAGCACAAATCGGATTGAAGTCCATGATACTTGAGTGAAACCCAATTCTGAAAAAAGAAGAAAGATATCAGCATAAGTTTACGAAGCATATCTATCAACAACTCAAAGAGTAGGAAGGATCACACAAAAACTGAATAAAACCAATTCTTCTCATACGTCTTCAGGAATTGGTTTATGATCCGTTGACGCCTGCACTCCCTTTTTCTGCCACCAAACTCAAAATTAGAATCATGTAAAAGGTGGCATAAGTAGCTAAACTACTCGGGCCAATCTTTGACAAACAGAAAGCAGCAATGAAATAAAATTACGAACGATGAACTCTACAAAAGCAAACATGCTAAATTTGCAATGGCTTTAAAAATTGAACCAAAATCATTTCACCTCGATTATTTTCTGTTTTTTCGACGTTCCAACAGATTCTTCAGTAGCTTCGGCTTGCTTGTTTATGGATGAAAAATACTGCATCAACGGTCGGAGCTGAGCAACAGCATGAACAGGGTTGAAGTGTAACTGCAAGACAACAACAAGTCCAATCTTATAAGATATGTCATCCACACTAGACCAGAATGTTATAAAGCTTGGAAAATAGGGGAAAAAAAATACCTTATCACCCGAAAGAACACCAACAACATAATCCAACGCAGTAGGCGGCTTCCAGGTTGTTGTCAAGGTCTACCAAATACAAGAAGAAAATTGAATATTGCATCAAATGAAAATTGAATCTAAGCTTGGAGGAACTAAAATCTGACCTGCTTAGTCATATTTAATTCACGTGCTTTGTTGGAATCAAAGTTATTTGACTGGTCATCCAAAGACAAATCAATTTCCACCTGGGAGGTAGAAGGATTCACTCTAACCTTAAAGACACATAAATAAACAAAAAGATTAGATCACAACACAAGAAAATGCAGAGAGTAACAGAAACAAAACAATGCAGGGGCGGCGAATACTCACTGCTTCACATCGTTCATCCATTTCGTATGGACGCCAAGACGGTCTCAGAGGATATTGTAGAACGTAAAGCTGAKATCATTGAGAAATCAAAGCTCTTAAACGATTAGCCAAAKACAAACAAAATTTCCAAAGAATCTAATCTAATAGGTGAGGAAGGTAATCCCTAGCTAACCTTAGRGTTGTCATCAATGGATGGATTGAAGTAAACGTCAATTTCACGAACAACAACG